GTTCAAAAGAACAGCATTTATTTGATACAGAATCTTTTGTAACATTATTGTTGGAAACAGTTGTGCTGCTTAATTTTTTTTTTTTTTGTGGGACCTGTGATACTTTAAATGATTAATTAAGCTAATAATAATAAAGTCTTTTGGATTCTTTCGATTTTAATGAAGGTCGTTTTAGGAAATTACCTCAAAATCAGTTTACTTTCAGAAGTTTGTCCCTCACACGTACACACACACAGAGAAGGATTTCAGTTTTAATCACTGTTATTATACATATTTCAGACAGAGTTTATTACGGAATTATGAAAAGTATTTTTAGTAAATACTCTATAAATAATTGCCTGAGATACATTGCTCTGTCGTCATGTTGACTCACCGTTGTCGTGATCGATGTCTATAAGCTTGTCCAGAAAATCTTTGACGGACGCCACACTGCAAAGGATGATGGGATGCAGAGGGGTCATCCACTGCTCCTTCCCATGACCCAACTGGAGCCCCAGATTCCCAACGCTCTGAAGAGCCTGAAAGAGAGAGAGAGAGGGAGAGAGAGAGAGAGAGAGAGAGAGAGAGAGGGCGAGGGAGAGAGAGAGAGAGAGAGAGAGAGAGAGAGAGAGAGAGAGAGAGAGAGAGAGAGAGAGAGAGCGAGAGGGAGAGAGAGAGAGAGAGGGCGAGGGGGAGAGAGAGAGAGAGAGAGAGAGAGAGAGAGAGAGAGAGAGCGAGAGAGCGAGAGGGAGAGAGAGAGGGAGAGAGAGAGAGAGAGAGGGAGAGAGGGAGAGAGAGAGAGAGAGAGGGAGAGAGAGAGAGGGAGAGAGAGAGAGAGAGAGAGAGAGAGAGAGAGAGAGAGAGAGAGAGAGAGAGAGAGAGAGAGGGAGAGAGAGATTTTATATTTTATAAAAATTTTTATATTTTTATATTTTCATATTTTACGTTTCAAGCAAATGCATTGTTAGATACCATGCATGAAAATGTGATTAAATGAAAATTATGTAAAAATCAATGTAAAAAAACTATAGTATATACAGATAATAAAAATGATAATTTTCAAACATCAATGCATGCATAAATAAGTGACTGAATTGAAAATGATATATAATAAATGTAAAATAAACAATATTTTTTTCAACATGCAAATTTAAAATTATGAAATTTCCAGCATGCAAAATTGAGTGACTGAAATTAAATGATATAAAATAAACAAAATAGTATATAATAAAAATGATGATTTTTCCATTATATAATAAAAATGATGATTTTTCTAACATGAATGCATGCATTTAATTGACACACATCTGTATCTGCACATGAGTGGAAGATTGTAATTGATTTTTTTTAAGTAAAATGAAAGGATGAATTTATCATGTGACTCTGTAAGTGTGTGTGTTGAACCTTAGCGAGCAGCAGGAGCGTTCTGCTGGTGCGTGTGTCGGCGTGATGGTCTCTCAGCTGGAAGAGTTTGGGTGTCAGAATCGCAGGAGCGAACAGACGCAGGAAGAAAAAGCCACTGATGGACAAATACTTCACATCCTACAAGAGAGAAACAGTGAGTACAACACCAGCCACACCTTCATCCTCATCATCATCATCAACATAGACATAATAAATACATAGACGCCCTATTGGCCGCTGGAGCGCACGTCAACGGCGCCGCCATGTTGGGGATGGCAACTTTCCCATACCTCTCATACCGGGAATTGAGAAAAATGCGTGTTTTGTGCGCTGCTTGGGGCTGTACACATCGCCACACAATTGAAAACAGCTTTCGAGGAATTACCTTTCACAAGCAAGACTGAACGTTTGTTTTTGGTTGTATTTGGTCATGATTTAATTAGTAATAGTAACGTTCAGAGGTTAAATTTAAAAATACTACTGTTATTGTGTCACGAAACGTAGTTTTAATAGTTTTTCAGTCGACAATGTAGTTGTTTAAAGCTCAAATATGTGGTTTGTTTATAAAGATAGCGTCTATTTAAAAATTTGATCTGACGTTTTCGGAGTTGTAAGATGCGCTCAGCGCTCGTCTACCCCGCCTGGAACAGCCGTCCCTCGGCCAGTGCTTCTGACGCTCAGCGCTCGTCTACCCCGCCTGGAACAGCCGTCCCTCGGCCAGTGCTTCTGACGCTCAGCGCTCGTCTACCCCGCCTGGAACAGCCGTCCCTCGGCCAGTGCTTCTGACGCTCAGCGCTCGTCTACCCCGCCTGGAACAGCCGTCCCTCGGCCAGTGCTTCTGAAGTTTTGCCGCTGACTCGGATGTCTGTAGTCTAGTGGTTAAACATGAGATATTATTCGTCTTGTGTATATCTAACGGGCGATCTTTGGTCTCATTAATCTATAAATGGTTCCCTGGTAAATCGTTTTGGCTGAGGGCAAAGTGAAGTTTCATAACTTTATATTTAGGCTATTTTAACGTTGTATCCTGCTGTATGTTTGACTGAAGCTACTTCTGTTATAATGGCTATTACTGATCAATAAAACTGAAATTTAACAAAAAGAGTTAAATATTAAATATAAGTCACTATTTAACTTGTGTTTTATATTCTGTAATTGATATTTCTTATTCTATTGCTATTATTATAGTATTATTAATAAACTATATGCTATTATCAATATTTTTATGATTGTATTATTGTACTTATGATATTATATAATTATACTAATCATTACTATTTTATTTGCTGTGTACTATTTGTTTAGTTTATTGACTAAACTATTTACTATTACTTCTCACTTTATGTTATATTTACTATTTGCATTGCACTGTAGTTGTACCATAACGTATTATTATAAAGGATCCATCAGTTATCTTTGTTATTGCTAAAATCTGGTCAATCACAGAAAATGCTTTTTCCACAATAAGCAAACTTAAATTATATCTCAGTATGGGGGTCTTCACCATTCTTATCCGAGAATAAAAAGCCAGATACATGACAAGCCTGAGCTTTGACCATTCTTTATTAAAAAAAAAATATTTTACAAGTCTAACTATCGAGATTTTAAATAACTAGAGATGGAACTTTTTGTACACCACATACAAACCACTGAAATCGGTTGATAAATGTAAAAACAGTTTTTGTTTTTATCCAGAAAAAACGCAGCTCACCCGTTTAGTTGAATTTACAGTTTTTTACAATCACTTTGCTACTATTTTCAGAACCTTGATGTCATTTTTCAAAACTCTAGACACAAAACTCACAACGGTTATCACTTGTAACACAGGCTGTCTAATGTTCAAAACATTGTATTGTCCATTCACATCTTTAAAGAAATCTTGCACTTGCACAATCATTGGTTCAAAAAACAAATTTACTGTGAAATACCATTGAAACATAACTATAGATCACCCACACACAAGCAACCGATAGTTTCACTGTGTCATTGTTCGTACAATCATTAAATATTGTAGAACAAAATAGGTGATCCAGGTTTCATTATGGTCTACATGTACAGTAAACACATCTCTGTGAACGCACTGCAGTCGTAGAGAGAATACACACATGGTGGAATCACTGAACAAAGTGTGTAATATATTGATGCAAAACACTACAGTGCCATCACAACACAGGTTTATTGGAATCAAAGCAAAAATATTAAATATTAGGCTTCATCCATGGATATTGTAGTCTAATTGGTTCATGCTCCACGCTAATTGGTGACAATGAATCTCGTTATCTTGAAACTTTCATGATTTACTGTAAACATGGAAGATTGTGTGTCTATGCATTAAGAGTACTGCAACAGTTACTTGTCATTTTGAGCAGTTGTATCAATTGATAGTTAGATCATTGTAAGGAAATGAATAGACACTCATTTGAAATGTAATGTGTGAATTGCCTTTTGAAATAGTAGTACTGTGATGTTAAGTTGTGTCATATTGAACAGGTGATTTTTGTTGAATGAACAAATAATCTAAGTTTTATGTGTATTGTGTCCAAGCAATTGAGAAAAGGGTTAGAGTTTTGAAAAATGTGCATTTTGATCATTGGTTGTGAGTTTTGTGTCTAGAGTTGTGAAAAATGACATCAGGGTTCTGAAAATAGTAACAAAATGATTGTAAAAAACTGTAATTACAGTGCAGTCTTGCCCTCCGCAAAATGGCGGACCCGTTGACGTAACGCAGGAACGTTCCAAAGCGGCCAATAGGGCGTCTATGTATTTACTATGTCTATGATCATCAAGTCCTCACCTCATTCTCCGGTTCTGGAAACTGTTCCTCTACCCGTTTATGGAGCTGTTTGAACACGACCCTCATCACAGGAGGACACTGGGAAACTGAGTTCCCGATGGCCTCCATGATGCTGGTCAGATACGCCTGAAGAAGCCCGACGCTGCTGTCTCTGACCTCCGCCTCAGACGCCGAGCCTTTAAATGATATACGTCTGGAAAGAGAGCGTGCAATACGTTTTTTACCAATAATTTCTACTTAGCTACTGTACTTAAAAGATTAGTTCACACACAACTGAAAAAAACGTTCTCACCCTCATGTCGTTCCAAACCCGCAACACTTAAGTTCATTTTCAAAACGCAATATATTTTAAATTAAATCTGACAGATTTCTGTCCTTCTATTGACAGTCTACGCAACTACGACTTTGATGTTTCAAAAAGTTAATAGAGATCCTTAAACTAATCCAAATGAATCAAGCAATTCAGTCCAAATTTTCTAAAGAGACATGATCATATGATGAAAAAAATTAATTTAGGCTTTTATTCACATATAAACATGCTTGTACCAGCTTGACGCACGAGAACAAACCTCATTGGTTCTGGAGAAGCTCAAACCCTACTTGACGTTTATATGTAAAGGAAAGCCTAAATTCAATCTGTTCATCATATAAAGTGATCGTGTCTCTTCTGAAAATTTGGACTCAACCGCTCAATTCATATGGATTAATTTTACGATCTCTTTATGAACTATTTGAAGCGTCAAATTGGTAGTTAGAGCGACTTTCACACAGAATCTACACTATTTCTTTGGTTTTCTGCACAATCCTTTATAGAAACTACTGCACAATTATTTGAATTGAGGTCATTGTTATCATTGGTTTCAGTTTTACTCATCTCTGAAATATCACATACAAGTGCATGAATATACACCACCGTTCAAAAGTTTGGGGGCAGTAAGATAAAAAAGACAACATAATTTAATTCAGCAAAGACATTTAAATTGATTAAAAGTTATAATAAAGACATTTATAATTTTACAAAATATTCTATTTCTGATTACTATTAATCAAAGAATCCTGAGAAATAAAATGTATCACGGTTTCAACAAAAATATTAGCTATTTTTAAACATTGATAATAATCATAAATGTTTCTTGAGCATCAGATCCTCATATTAGAGTGATTTCTGAAGGATCATGTGACACTGAAGACTGGAGTAATGATGCTGAAAATCACAGGAATAAATTACACTTTACTATATATTCACAAAGAAAACAGATATTTTAAATTGTAATAAATGTAATATTTCACAGTTTTTACTGTATTTTTGATCAAATAAACACAGCCTCGGTGAGCAGAAAAGACTTCTTACAAAAACAATACAACATTTTCCTGTCCCCAAACTTCTGTATATAATATATTTTAAATATTGCCTGAAACCTGAAGCGCTTTTGTTCTCGGTGACATTTCACATGTGGTGAAATCACGCTATACATAGATCTAAAAGCCACCATAAGAGGTAAAGTGTGTAGAGTTCACTGCTGTTCCCTGGCAACACTTCTCTCCTGCAGTTACTTTCCCTTGATTACGGCTGTTTCACCTAAAGATATGCTGTGAGAATGAACTTCTGTAATGCATATGTTATATCATGAACTCGCAAAAAAATACAAAAATGGTGTGCACATCCCAAACACCCAGATTGGGCTCAGGTGCAGGACAACTAAGTGATATAAACAAATAAAGAAGTGTGAAGTCCGCACACTGAAAATGACTGCTCCAAAAGAATTTATTAAAAGTAGGGCTGTCAAACGATTAATCGCGATTAATCGCATCCAAAATAAAAGTTTGTGTTTACATAATATATGTGTGTGTACTGTGTATAATTATTTTTAATACATAAATACCCACACATGCATGTGTTTTTAAGAAATATTTGCATGTATATACTGTATATAGACTGAATGTAGCCTATATATAATGTATATTTTATATAAATATAAACATTTTATATATAAATAACATATTTTTCTTAAATATATATACATGTGTGCATTTATATACAAAATAATTATACACAGTACACACACATATATTATGTAAACACAAACTTTTATTTTGGATGCGATTAATCGTGATTAATCGTTTGACAGCCCTGATTAAAAGGCAACGTTTCGACCCTCAGGTCTTCATCAGGCATCAATGTAGAGTGAAGTCAACTTTAAATAGACACAGGTGATCACCTTAATTGGGCACACACACACACACACAAAAAAATCTTATGACAAATACAAGTAACGTGACAAGTCACACACAAAAAAATAAATAAAATAAAATAAAAAACATAAATAAATACAAATTTTACAAGTCACAATTTTTTTTTTTTTTTATAAATTACACAATGGCTTAATATCAAAATCCTCATTCAACCCTTTGGAGCAGTAATTTTCAGTGTGCGGACTTTCTTTATATTATGAAGTCGCACCTGGAGCGGTTGAGGTCTATCTTGCAGGGATCCAACTCGACGTATTTCCTTTCCTCAAAGATCCGGTTAATAATGGGCTTCAGAACCTCATGTAGATACAGCATCCCGACAGCCTGACACACACCAAACCCTCTTACTAACATTCACGCATTTTGATATAAACACAAGATTACAGGTGAAACTCGAAAAATTAGAATATGGTGCAAAAGTTCATTTATTTCAGTAATTCAACTTAAAAGGTGAAACTAATATATTATATAGACTCATTTGATATTTCAAGCCTTTTTTGTTATAATTTTGATGATTATGGCTTACAGATATGAAAACCTTTTCACAATATTCTAATTTTGAATTTGGGGTTTTCATATCTGTAAGCCATAATCATCACAATTATAACAAATAAAGGCTTGAAATATCTCACTTTGCATATAATGAGTCTATATAATATATTAGTTTCACCTTTTAAGTTGAATTACTGAAATAAATGAACTTTTGCACCACATTCAAATTTTTTGAGTTTCACCTGTATATTTCAGATGAAGATATGCACACACCTTCATGAACTGCTCCATAGCTTTAGAGGCCAGTGAGTTGGACCGGAAGAGTGTGTTTGGATCTGCTATTGGGGAGAAACAGAAAACAACTTCTGTTCATGTTTCTCAGCCATTATGTTCCTCCAGAGCCTTTGTCTGCTGCTGTCCATGCACATATATTCTACTATGACTGTCATCCACACAACAAAGTAAGTACGCATATAAATGTACAAAATTAAATCTATCAAAATGTTATTTATTTAGTACAACTAAACTTTTACAGTAAAGAACATGTGATGTTTTCCCAATGCTACAGTGTAGATGCTTTTAAAGCAACTCACACTGCAGTGCATTTCTATCCATATTCTATTTGTTCTGGCTTATTTTTAGTGCAGTTGTTTTGGCTGGTTGTTAATGATCACTGACGCTACTTTTTCATGCACTGAGATTTTGGACTTTTTTGCTTCCATTACATGTCTTCTTTCAAACTAGTGGAAAGAAAAGATCCAAAATACACATTTTAGTGGATATTTTACTGCACTTTTATCTGTTTGAGTCTGTATATTTCAATCTCAACCCATAAAGACGGTGAGTTTGAGGCAGAAATCTTCACTTCAGCAGCTTTACACACACCAAACTACAGTTTTATTCATATACTGAAAATTCTGAAGGTTTTTACACTGTGTTTTGTATATTAAAAAAAAGATTCCCTAAAAATATGATGCTTTTTTTTATGGCTGTTGACAGTATTTTCTGATTTATGGAGTCACATTAAGAGAAATCCAAGAATTTTGAACTTTGCTTTATCAAATGTTCAGACTTCTGTTCTGTGCATTTATGCAAATTAGTGCATATTTAATTTGATAATGGATCATTTGCATATTCAGACTTGTAATACAGAACAACCGTTTTAATGAGTAGGGATTAAATGAAATGGGGAAAGTATGATGACATCTATTAGTCAACATTTGTACCCTATTTACCTGTGTTCTCACACTAAAAATGAGCAATTAAAACTATTATTTGTTATATTTATTGAAATCTCAGGGCTACGTCAAGTCAAGAATCATCGTCTTATACGGCTGATCCCTGACATTGGATTTGTTCTGTAACTTTGTTCTGGCTATTTTCTCTCCTCCTGTCTTTCTCTTTCATCATCGTCGTTCGCTGACAAACATTCCCATCTTATGATGGTTCCATTTCCTTTTGAAGCTGCTTCCTGTGGAGTTGCTATGGAAACTTGGACCCTTTGTTTGTCATCGGCGCGGCACAAACGCAACATAAAACACCAGCCGAGTGTGAAAAACCCACGCGCTCCACAATCACACAAAACATCGTTAATGAGAGAGGAGAAGTTCAGAGATGACTTCACGGCAGCGAGGGGAACTGTGTGTAAATATAGCTGGACTGAAGTCGTCACGTCGCCTACACACAGGAAAACCACTAATCAAACACACACACACGTACTGGTGTTGTGAACCTCTCTGGTGTTGAGGTAGTCCAGGAATGGCACGACCAGGCCTTGACCCAGATAGATCTTCACTAGCGTCATGGCCACCTCTTGTCGACTCTCCACCGTCGTGACCTCTTCCAGGAGGGTCAAGGGTGTGGGATCATCCACCTGACAGCATTGGGAAAAATACAGAATTTAATGAGGCTATAATACGCCCTTTTATATAGTTTTGATGTTGTTTTCAGGCTCTACTAGAACAGGTTTGCATGCATTATTTCCTCATATTCTCCATTGTTGCGGCTCCTCTCTTCCCAGTCTGTCAGTAACGCTCTGGTGTGTGTTTCCCGAAAGCATTGTTAGCCAACAGTGGTCGCAAGTTCTGTTGTTATCAGCAGTTCAGCGAGGCTGTGTTTCCCGAAACCATCGTTCTAACAAACATTCGCAAACAGCATCGCAGAGTTGTGTGTTTGGACGACGCTCTCGACCTGTGGTTAGAAGCAGTTTCTTGTTTTCATGACATGTGGACTCAATAAATCCTGATCTTGAGCAAAATAAGCAAGCCGACATTCAGTTCAATCTGTATCTTTTATTTAGAATACATACAAATGTATTTACGTCTTTTAGTTTGTCAAGAGATTTAAAGCATCGTTTTTTAAGAGTGCGCATGAACGAGCTCTAAGAACGAGTCTATGATTGAATCTGGAAATAAAGCGAAATAACTGAGAAAAATGAGAAATATTCCTCAAATGCCATGTTCGCAGGGCCGGATTAACCATTAGGGCAACTGGGCACTTGCCCAGGGGCCCACGACATCTAAGGGGCCCTGGGCAGCAGGGGCGGAGTGGCAATCGGGAGAGTCGGGAGTTTCCCCGGTGGGCCGGTAGTGTTTCGAGGCTGCGAGGGCCGGTCTGATAAAATGTATTCATTGCAAGTTCGCCATGCGCACTTGTGGCCCAAGCGAGGGGAAGAAAAAAAATATTTTAGATAACGGAGCGTATATTTGCACTAAGTGCCTGTCTTTTTAGCAAAAAGACGCCCGTTACGGAATAGCTACAGTGGCGTAGGTCGTAGCGCGCGAACTGCTTGAAAGCAGCTTTTGATGCGCTCGACCCGAGTTCGAATCCGCCTTTTGCCGAACTCTCTCTTCTCCCTTTTCCTAACACATATGAGATGTAAAATGTATAACCTAACATAAAGGTCTCTAGCGTTATATTTTGCCAACGAACTAAAATCGAAACCATGATGTGGCTTTGTGCCTTTATAAAACAGCACAAGACTTTAAGAATAGGCATCCGTGTGTGCTGAGTGATTTAAAGAAAAGTGTGCTCTTTGCTCACGCGATCAGCATGGTTATCTGGTGTTTTCTCCTAAATAAAAGCTCAAGGGTTTATTTCTTGCAAGTGAAGAAATTAGGACAAAAATATTTTGATTTTCCTGTATTATAGTGTAATGTAGACTAAAATATACTTTTGAAATATTCATTTTCATTTATAGTACATTTATAGGCTATATGGATTTTACGTCATAGGAATAATTATATAAATCATTATTACATTATTATAATAATTGTTTGGCATCCTAAAACACCATTGATAATGTAATGTAGACTGAGACTCTCATAACTAAAAAGATGTTTGAGCCCTCTTTATTGTCCTGGTACAAATCAATGCTTTTTCTTTGTTCAACGAGCAGTTCATGGGTTGAAGCTCTTAATTTTGACCTCTCAAAGAGCACGAGATTGATGCATTTAACCTTAAAATGTACAACATTTTCTTGCGGGGGAGCATGCCCCCGAACCCCCCTAGAGGCACAGAGGTCCACCCAACATAGCTTTACAAATTCCTATGGGAAAGAACAACCATTTATGAACTTTATTCCAGCATAGTACAACAAAGATCCTTTTAAGTCAGTAAAACTGTAAATGCCATATTAAAATGTCCTTGGACAAAATATACATTTGGCCTAAGGGGGGGCCTACAAGACATTGTGCCCAGGGGCCTCTGAACTCTTAATCCGGCCCTGCATGTTCGTAATTTATAGCAAAACATCTAGCATTAATTCGGTCTCAAACAGATTCATTAAAAGTAGTTTTTACCCCAAAACCTGCGTGACGTCATAAACCAACGTGGTTGAACGACCAATTTTGCAACAATACGTTTTTGGGAAACAATTGTGGCTAGCTAGATGATTTAATCAACGATGCATCGTACTGTAGTAGTTACAGCGTTGTACGGGAAACACACCCCTGTTTAGTTCCTGTCTCTATAAAGCCCCTCCTTCTGAAAAGCACACTGTGCTCTGATTGGTCGGCTGGAGCAGTGTGTTGTGATTGGTCGAGCGCTTTGAGTGTGTTTGTGAAATGTCCCGCCCCTTACCATAACCGCCAGTTTAACACACTACTAACTAACTCAACCAGGCCCCGCCCCTTTATTCTGCGTATGAATTATTATAATGAGGAATATTGTGACGTGTTCGTTCCCGGGAGAAACTCAAGACTACAATGGAGGCGTTTCAGGAGTTCAGAAACACTGACACTGATATAGAGAAGAACTCCCGCTGGAGGGACTTAAAAAGCTTTTTCATGCTTAAACAGCAACATTACACACACTAAAGAAAGTTGAATATGGAAAAAAGCAAAATAGGTCCTTTTTGAGAATGTGCAGCTCCACACAGGATGTTGAACTGGGATTCGATTTGGAATGACAGGAAGAGGAATTAAACAGATTTTGGGCACTAAATGGACAAAGAGCTGATCACATTAAGTTTAAGTCCTTTTTTTTTTTTTTTTTTGTCCTGTTAAACTAATAACTGAAATAAAATAAAATATATAAAAAACCTAAAACTTATTTTTTCATTCTAGTTTCCAAGGCAACATTTATTTATCATTTTATTTAGTCTAACTTGATGTACTAAAATAACTAAAACAAAAATGTATTTTATTTATTTATAAAAAACTATTAAAATAGCAAAAACACAACTAAATTACTAAAACAAACTAAAATTAAGCTGAAAACAGAAAATATAAAGAAATAAAATTAAAGAAATAAAATTAATAAAAACGAATTGAATGTATTAATTAAAAAACTACAATGATATCTCAATGATGCTAAAACAACACTGGTGCAGATTTTGTACAGCATTTTGGAAAATTCAGTGTTCAGTGTGTAAAATAAAAGTTGAATTATTATAAAATCATGAAACTACAGAGTTTAAATTACATACAAATGTCTATAGTCATTTGAATCAGTGTTTTGTCATATGAATGAATGTTTCTGTAATTAGCCTGTTGAGAACATTCTTATATGAAATGTACTAATAATCTGCACTTTATAAATCAAATTCAAATTATTCTGCTATCTGTTTGCTTCCTCAATTCAAATAGGAAGTAACTTTATTTACTAATTCTTCAGTGGTTTAGTGTTTCATTAGGTCAGTGTTTTGCTTCTCTTAATAGAGAAAAGGTGAAGCACCAGATGATTTTCTTGCAGTGTTAATGTTCTCCAATTACATTAACCCTTTGGTTTTTAGGCCTGAAACACACTATGTGCATCGTGAGAGCTATAGACATGCTTTAGTGGTCAGTTTAACCTGTTCAGATGTGCAGAATGTGATGGTACCTCAGATGGCGAGATGACGGCCTCCACCAGCTGCTCGATCAGAGGCTGATAGTACAGAGAAGGAAGAATTCGCTCCTCTGTCAAACGCACCTTCAGACGCAAGGCACCCAGTTTACCCCTGAAAGAAATAGAGGGCCCTATTTTAACGATCTGAAACGCAAGTATCAAACGCGAAGCGCAAGTAACTTTGTGGGCGGGTCCCGGCGCTGTTGCTATTTCACCGGCGGGATAAATGACTCTTGCGCCCGACGCAAGTTTAAAAGCGGTTGGTCTGAAATAGCTTCATCATTCATAGGTGTGGTTTGGGCGTAACGTGAAATAAACCAATCAGAGCGTCATCCAACACACCCTTTAAGAGCAGGTGCGCATGTTGCATGGCGGATTGTTATTATTATGGCGGATTTACCAGGCGCGCGCCAGGAGCGGTTCACAGCCGAGGAGACCGACGTTCTTGTCAGGGCAGTGAAAGACAGAGAAGTGGCGTTGTATGGGGATGGGCAAACTAATTTGTCAGATGTCCTTATATACATATGTGTCTTGCCACTATTGGGCAAACAGGTCTGATCCGTCATTACTACAATTAGCCTGAAAAATGTGGGTAAATGTGTAAGCTAGATTTAGGCCTAAATTTTTTTACATCTTCATGGACACCACAATGATTTCCCTCATGTGTTAATATTCTTCCTTGTTATAATGTATGATTTGCAAAAATAAAAACTGCTGCATCTGTGTTGATGAGAGAATCAAAGTGTGTGCGCGTTGTGCACCCGCTACATTATGGCCAAGCATGCGCGCTTAAAATAGCATTATGAACAAGGCGCAACGCGCCACTGACTTTAGACTAGGTTTTTTCTGGTCAGTGGCGGAATTGTTTTCTGGAACTGCAAAATAGCACTAGTGAATGTTTGCGCCGAAACACGCCTCCTTTTTACGCCAGGAGTGCAAGTTCATTTTCTAGTTTACCGGCGTGCGTCTGTGGAGGGAAAAGCCCGCTTTGCGCCGGTGCAAAATAGGAATGATATTCAGTGAACAAAGTCATTTGCGCGGGTGCAAGATAGGGCCCAGAGAGAGAGAGAGACAGACAGTTTTGTGTCTGTGTGCTTTTATAATAGCGCTTACATTAAACTAGACTGTTTCAACCTAAAGCATCAAAACCAACCTGTAAGATGCGTGTTTGAGAATTGCTTTTACAACGACAGCCTGCTTATAGGATTTATACTCTTATAGAGATGTTTTCAACTATGAGACTAAATGATGGACTTTTACTTAATAAGATGATACACTGCAATACAACGATGTTCTTCCTCTGTCTTGTTTTCCAGAACAAAAATCAAAAGATTCTTAAATCAAGAACTTGAGAAGCAAGATACCTAAGATTTTAAGTCTTGTTTAATGAAAGATTTATCAAAATGAAGTGAGTTTATGCTTACAACAAGAACAAGTATCTGCTATTGGGGTCAGAAAATAATCTTGTTTGCCTTTGAATGAATATTATTATTCTGACCCCATTGAAAGATAATTGTTCTTGTTTTAAGCATTAAGTCTATTTTATCTGAAGTATTTTTTCTTTTCAAGCAAATGTATCTTGATTGAAGAATGTTTAGATAATTTTATTGGAAAACTAGACAAACATTGTCTATTATGGGGGGGGGGGGGTGTATGAATGTTTAAAATGTGCTAATAAATTTTGTATGATGTTTTTAATTTTACAAATGTCTTAACTGGACTTGATAAATACAAGATCTAGCTGCTGGAGTGCCTCAGGGCTCAGTGCTGGGACCGCTTCTCTTCTCCATCTATATGTCATCAGCAGTGATGGGAATAACGGCGTTATAAATAACGACGTTACTAACGGCATTACTTTTTCCAGTAACGAGTAATCTAATTGATTACTCTTCTCATCTTAATAACGCCGTTCCCGTTACTGCCAAAAAATGCGGCGCGTTACTATAACTGATGAAGCTGGGGTTTTTTTTTTCATCAGACCAACTAGATCTCTGAGCGAGAGGCAAATACTTTTTTTACTGTTCTTCCTTGGTTAGTGGGCAGAGCACGAGACAAGCGCATAAATGCTGACGACTGAGGTAGAGTAAAATGTCATTGTAAGCCAATCAGAGGTAGAGTTGGGCGGGTGTTCGAAAGCACGCATAGTAGTGATGGGCATTCGGCACTTTTGACTCAGCTCACTGAAAAGAGCCGGCTCTTTTGGCTCACAAACGGCTCTTTAAATGACTTTGACTATAATATATATATTTTTTTACATAATTATTTAATTTCTATAGGCTAAATTTGTAAAAATAGAGTCGGCTCTTCAGATATGCGAGCCAGCTCCCGACGTTCACCTAAAAGAGCCGGCTCTTAGAGTCGCCTCATTCGCGAATCGCGAACGACCCATCAAAAGCTCATTCGCGAACGAGTCGATCCATCATCACTAACGGCTAACGCTCATGAATTGCGAACGACCCATCATAACGCATAGTCGGACAGGACAGGACACACAATGAACAACACAAGCAAGCCAGTCAGTCAACGAGAGACAGGTATGGCGACGAGCTTAACAAGCTTAATTTAATTTTGCCCAGTTGTGGCCTGTTGAGGGGCAATATATCAAAAGTTCCAAAACATCTATTGTGTTATTTGCATTGATCCACTATATAAACATAATATCTACATGGCATTTGATTGGAGGCACTTTGTCCCACAGCAACATTTTTTTTTTTTTTGATGTGTGTACAATGTTTCATGTTTCTGTTAATAATGTATTGTATTAAGTGTCCATTTCATTATAATATTCAGATTTATCATAAATAATTGAACATGCACATGTATTGTAAGTTCCGTTAAAGAGGGGTAGAGGTGGGGTCACATTTGAGCATTTAAAATTTAATTTTACTTGAAAGTAACGCAATAGTTACTTTCTTAAGTAACTAGTTACTTTTAAAATTTGTAACTGAGTAACTAATTTAGTTACTTTTTGGAAGTAGTAACTAGTAACTGTAACTAATTACTTTTTAAAAGTAACTTGCCCAACACTGGTCATCAGCAGGATCTGTCATTCAGAAACATGGTTTTTCACTCATTGCTACACTGACGACACACAACTCTACCTCTCATTCCAGCCTGATGATCCGACGGTAGCTTCTTGCATCTCAGACATTTCTTGCTGGATGAAGAACTACCACCTTCAACTCAACCGTGCGAAGACAAAATTGCTCGTGGTCTCGGCCAAGCCAACACTTCTTCTTCACAACTTCTCCATTCAGCTTCGTCAAGAATAACTCCATCCAGGACAGCCAGGAACTTTGGAGTTGTGATGATCAGTTAAACTACACAGACCACATTGCTCACCGGGATAATTCCGGTTCTCGTGGCTACGCTGAAGCGATAAAATTCTGTATTATACATTTTAAGGCCAGACAAGTAGTTTGTTGAGGGTTGGTTTTTTAGGGAAGGACTACATGCCTGCGCACATATATTCAAACGCGCATCCCTATGGAATGAACTCTTAATACACATGTGCACGCCATCAGCATTCTCACAGGTTCGCGTTTTTAAAGTTTGCGAGTTAAAACGGTGTCGTGTTAGTTAATAACTAATGATCATTGCGGCGGAAGTAAATCAATTAAAACTAACTTTAGCTGGAAAATAACTTTATTATAGAGCTGTCATAAAGCCAAAACAATCTCTGTCACTTTAATTTCATATTATCACTGTAAAGCTGCTTTGGAACAATCTATATTGTTAAAAGCGCTATATAAATGAAGATGACTTGACTTGACTAAAATTGCCCGGTCCTGCAGAATTGCCTTATACAACATTCGGAGGATCAGGCCCTTCCTAACGTAGCTACACAACTCCTTGTCCAAGCTCTTGATCCAGAAGCAAGAGTGTCTTTATCGAGCCGAAGAGACGCACGTCACACATCTTCATAAAATCGCACTGGTTGCCAATTGCTTCTCGTATCAAATTCAAGGCACTGATGTTTGCCTACGGACCAACCACTGGCTCTGAATCCTTATACCTAAACTCACTACTTCAGACATATGTGTCCTCCAGAAGCTTGTGTTCTGTGAGTGAACAGCGCCTTGTGTTGCCATCATCCCAAAGAGGCACACAATCACTGGAAGCAGATCGTCATTAAAACATGAGTAAACACCAAGACAACGATCTCTGAAGCAGCATTACCATCTCAAACACACCTGCTAATGAATGTGACTGCACTGTAAAACACACACAAACACACGCACACACACACCCTGCATCGTCCTCGGTGTTTCCCAGCGGCAGCAGACGAAACCAGCCCTGCATCAGAGGCGATCTGTGCAAACAGGACAGAGGGATTTCCACCTGTGCAAACCAACACAAACACATGCAGTCAGCAGGCATAAGCAAACAAACACATTATCACTTAAAAATAATCACCCAAATATAACAATTGTCACCATTATATACTAATATACATATACAGGTGAAACTCGAAAAATTAGAATATGGTGCAAAAGTTCATTTATTTCCGTAATTCAACTTAAAAGGTGAAACTAATATATTATATAGACTCATTACATGCAAAGTGAGATATTTCAAGCCTTTATTTGTTATAATTTTGATGATTATGGCTTACAGCTTATGAAAACCCCAAATTCAAAATTTGAATATTGTGAAAAGTTTTTCATATCTGTAAGCCATAATCATCAAAATTATAACAAATAAAGGCTTGAAATATCTCACTTTGCATGTAATGAGTCTATATAATATATTAGTTTCACCTTTTAAGTTGAATTACAAGCATTACAAGTTTTAACTTGCCGGAAAAGACCGAAGCGCCGGCGCCATCAGATCACTTGGACGTGGTCTTTTGCACGCGAGTGATCTGTCGCGCGTGTACGTCACTCATCGTTTACACAGAACAGAGATTGTAGGTAAGAAATGCTAATTAAAATGGTACTAAATTGCGCTTATCTGGGATGTTTAAACCGTCGTAAAAGAAAACAATTAAAATAAAATAAAAAATAAAACAATTGTATGAGTGACGGATACGCACAAGAGATCACTTCCAGTGCTTGCCCAGACCGAAGCGCCGGCGCCCTCAGATCACTTGGACGTGGCTGTGGTTACAAGAGGTAAAAACGATATAAATACTGTTCGTTTTCTCACACAAACCGCTCGTTTCGTGTCTTAGGCCATCAATGTGTACTTACATTTACGAGTCATTAAATCATGTTTAATTTGGACTTCTCTGTGCTGCTCTTTGAGGTGGTGACCATAGACCTGCATTATATGACTGACAGACAAGAACGGTTTGACCTAAAAATATCAAAATTGAAACTACTGCGGAAACAACGACACCTACATCTTGGATGCCCTTGAGGTAAGCTAAAACATACCAAAAATTAATTCCAAAGTGAACTATCCCTTTAAGACATTGAAAATTTGTAATTGCTTTAATATCTTCATATAAATTAGCAATAGCCCCCTAGTGTGAAAGTCTTTGTTATATCTATGTTGTATGTCAATGATGTATACACAAGTGTTTGTACAAACTTAAATACAAATAAATTTTAAAAATATATATATATATAATGGTGTCAATGCAGGCAGATAAATAATATTGTTGAATATTAAATGTCCCCAACTAAACAAGCCAAAAGCCAAAGGTGACAGTGGCAGAAAAAACAAAACTCCATCAGTGACAGAATGGAGAATAAAACCTTGTGAGAAACCAGACTCAGTCGCTCAGTTCTCCTCTGGCCAACGAGCGAACAGTGTGTGATTATGATTCAGGCAGCATTACAGGTCAGAGGTCAGATTGGATCCGGTCAGACTGTCACCTCACCTTTCCCAGAAAGTCGTTCTTGCCCACCATGTCCCAGTCCCAGACCTCCACGGTGACGCTTCCACCTTCATCATCCGCACCTTCATCCAAACACAACTCCAGAGTCTCATCCCAGTGCGGGAACCGCGTCTTCTTTATGATCTGGAGAGAACACACTGGTTTGACTGAACTGCATGTTTCAGAGTGAAGCGCGGCACGGTGTTCATTTACACACGAGCAGCTCGTGATCCCGTGTTTTCAGTTCTCAGTAAATGATCTGCATCTGCTCTGGGTTTGGGTCATTTATAACATGCATTTGAAAACGCAACACGCACTACCCATCTTCATAAACTTTTAATGAGAAGCGCGTATAAACTGGCTGTTGTCAACAAAAGAAGAGTTTTCTGCTAATATAAAAGCTCAATGGTGCAGCGTAATGGAGACATACAGGTGAAACTCGAAAAACTTGAATATGGTGCAAAAGTTCATTTATTTCAGTAATTCAACTTAAAAGGTGAAACTAATATTTTATATAGACTCATTACATGCTAAGTGAGATATTTCAAGCCTTTATTTGTTATAATTTTGATGATTATGGCTTACAGATATGAAAACCCCAAATTCAAAATTTGAATAATTGTGAAAAGTTTTTCACAATCCATAATCATCTCAATTATAACAAATAAAGGCTTGAAATATCTCACTTAGCATGTAATGAGTCTATATAATATATTAGTTTCACCTTTTAAATTGAATTACTGAAATAAATGAACTTTTGCCCCATATTCTAATTTTTCGAGTTTCACCTTTAGAGATTGGTGTTGTAATTCTACGGTTGCACTCAAAACTCAAATAATAATGATATTTTTCTTAAATACAATTTTTTTACAGTGAAATATTTCAATAGTAGTATTAGTTTGTAATAATAATAATAATAAGTATTATTTTATAGTCATATTGATATATAATCCCAAAATTGTTGCCAAATAATGCAGCCCTACAAACAACCACAGCAAAAGATATGAAGTCATAAATATTAGTATTGTAATTTTACAGTTAAACTAAAATTATTGTTTTAATATTTGTGTTTATTATTAATAGTCACATTTTTTATACTGTTTAATATTTTTATTGAGTAATAATAACAATAATAATTATTAATTATTATTATTATTTTATAGTATATAATCACATTTTTTACCAAATTGTGCAGCCCTACAAACAAAGAACAGCAAACCTGGAGCATTTTAAATCCAGATTTTATAATAAAAATAAATACCAAATGCCCAATCCTAAATACCAAATTAATCTTCGACTTAGACTTTTAGTTTCAAATTTAGACTTTTAGTTTTCGTTTAAGACTTTTAGTTTTAGACTTTTAGTTTTAGACTTTTAGTTTTAGACTTTTAGTTTTAGACTTTTAGTTTTCAATCTGACCCAATAATCCCTCCATACCTCAAATCGTGAGGAGGAGGAGAGTAAAAACTGCAGTTTCTTGAATGAATTGTGAATGTTTTAGATGTTTTATGAGCTTCAGTGGAGGAAAAGCTTTTTTATCTTTAACAGTGACTTAAACTGAGTTCTGTTCCTCATATACAGTGATCATCAGGTGATTTCAGAAGATGATTTCACTTTAATGGCGTTTTAATGATGTTTTTGGTCTGTTTTGCAGCTCGAGGCGCTCTGATGAGTGTATAGATGAAGACTCGTCCTCTCACCGATGTCTCCGTGCTCAGGTTGTTGTAGATGATTCTGGTGAACGGATCAGAGGTACCAGAAATATCACGAGGAGCCAAATCTCTGAAACCAACACAAACACACACTACAATAAACTTTGTGAAAGATCAATGGACGTTTAGGAGAAAGAGCTGATGCCTAAATACAACTGAGAACATTTACTTTTGTGCATTCAGCAGATGCTTTACAATAGAGTAACAAAAGCAATCTGTCACAGTGCCAACAATATTCATAATGTACAGGTGAAACTCGGAAAATTAGAATATGGTGCAAAAGTTCATTTATTTCAGTAATTCTAATATTCTAATTTTGAATTTGGGGTTTTCATATCTGTAAGCCATAATCATCACAATTATAACAAATAAAGGCTTGAAATATCTCACTTTGCATGTAATATATTAGATTTACCTTGAAGTCGAATTACTGAAATAAATGAACTTTTGCACCATATTCTAATTTTCCGAGTTTCACCTGTACAACGGCAGGTTTATTAGAAAGCTGGATTAGGAAGCAAAAGCGTGGGATGAGTGAAAGGAAAGCTCCTCACCGAGCCTCGATGACGTGACAGTGCAGGACGGTTCTCTGAGCGTCTCTGTGAAGCTCCAGATCCAGATGGATCTCACCCTGAACCTCCTCATCTGGATCCACACGGCTCAGGTTCAGCCAGTTATCCAAGCCTGCGGGAGCAAAGCAGTTTACATCTGAGCTGAGCTTATTCTCAAAGCACACTTTATATATCTATACTAATATTTATATTGTGAACTGAACACAAATTTACTGTCAAAACGTGCCGTATACAGCCTGAATGCACTGCAGGTACTGTAGGCCTATCCCACAATGCAATGCAAACCTTCCTTTTCCGGTGTGACAAAATGTCAACTGTGAATCAGTGTTATTTTACCATCATTGAGATATAATAGTACATAGGTTTTTTATATTCATAATTCATTTTTATGAGTTAATATTAATTAGGTAATAGTTAATAATTAGTTAATAATATTAAAGTTTTATAAATTTAGAATCTATCTGTCTATGTATTTTTTTTAATTCATTTTAATTTCAGCTTTAGTTTTTAGTATATCGGGTACTAAAAATAACTGAAGTAAAACAAGTTTTTTATTTTATTTTATTTCAGCAAACATTTATTTTATCTAATGAACAGAAAAGGTTCTTTATGGTTTTAGTTGTAGTTAATTATAATAACCTGTGAATTTTAACATCTTGATTCATTATTTTATATTGCATTACAATTTTTATATTTTGAATTAGTTTTTTAGTTAAAGTTTTAGTAATTTTGTTATTTTTGTCATTTTTATTAGTTATATTTTTTAATGTCTACATATATTTTTATTTTTTTATTTAGTTTTCATTTTAGTTATTTCAGTATATTAAGATAAATTAAATTAAAATGTTGCTTTTAAACATTTTATTTTAGTTAACATTTATTTTATTTTAAGTAAAGAAAATATATTTTTAATGGCTTTAGTTTTAGTTAACTATAATAAGCATTACTTTATATTGAATAAAACAATGCAAAATATTTTTAATGAATAAAAAAATTGCTAAATATTTTTTATTGAATAAAAAATGCAAAATATTTTATATTGAATAGAAATTGCAAAATATTTTATATTTAATAACAAAATGCAAAAAAAATTCTATTGAATAAAAATTGCAAAATATTTTATATTGAATAAAAATTGCAAAATATTTTATATTTAATAAAAAATGCAAAATATTTTATATTGAATAAAAAATGCAAAATATTTTATATTGAATAAAAAATGCTAAATATTTTATATTGAATAAAAAATGCTAAATATTTTATATTGAATAAAAAGTGCAAAATATTTTATATTGAATTAAAAATGCAAAATATTTAATATTGAATAAAAATTGCAAAATATTTTATATTGAATAAAAAATGCCAAATATTTTATGTTGAATTAAAAATGCAAAATATTTCATCTCATTTGTAATAATTCATGTTTCTGAGATGATAACTGTATGTGTAAGACTTTATGTATGCCACGCGCAGAATTAAAACATGTAGCACACTAGTTTGAACATTAATCAATGCATAATGCTCTTTTGCATGTTATATAAAAGCAGTATTCAGAATTCATGAAGTGATTTATTGGTGTTTTATTTAAAAAAAGGTTCTGCATACCGCAAACTCATTTTTGTCACATTTACGATGTTTTTGCAAAAGTCTAGGATCAACAGATTGGCAGTATGATAAGAACATTAGTCAAAAAGGAGATGTTAAAAACAGTGACATCACTCGCCGTTCATTTGTCACACTGGAAATGGAAGGTCAAGTCTGCATTGCATTGTGGGATACAGTGTCTTGGCTGTATTGTGTACATTGTAGCAAACACAGTATATCGTCTAAGTGTTTACAAACATGCATTCATAAAATTCACATAATCATGCACAGTATACCAGCAAAAATATTAATGTGATCATCATTTGAAACCAGTACAGTTACAATAAATCCCTCATCTGAGAGTTTTACAGAGCCGAACGCTTCCCATGATCCTGTGGGTGAGGGGTGAGTCAGGCATGACAGGCTGCCGTGATTCATGCAGGGCAAGTGCATGCTGGGAAGACATGAAACCCACTGTGGGGTGGCGTGGTCGCTAGTACATCATGTGTGTGCCTATAATAACTACACACTCCTCCGTTCCAGCTGAGAACAGCATCATCA